ATAAATATATGAAAACCATAGAAAATTAATGGAACCAAAAAAACCACCATTATTCTCACAAAAATCAGAAAATCTTAAATATGCAAGAATTTAATTAAATTTCTTTTGTTTGGAAAAGCAACATTCACATGAAAATTTTCATGAATTTGCAAGAAAACCCACAAAAAACATATAATTTGGTATTTCAGTGATTTTTCAATTATAGGCAGCTATCTCCAGGCGATGCCCACAATATTTTTGGCCAATTAATTAACAGTATTTATTGTACAAGCGTATTTTTGCACCTTCTCAATAGCATCAATCGATTTTTTTCTGTAATATTACCATTAAAATTCACAAATTGCTTTGGTGGCAAAAAAAACATTATTGTGGCGGTTCTATTTCTCATAGTTTCAGTTGTCTTCTGGTGTGGTACTTACCTATCATGTACGTCCAGTCAGTTTCGACTTTCTTTTTTAATCTATTTGTTTTATGAGTAAATTACTATTGTGAGCTGACAGGAAAAGAGAAATTTTTTTAACTTCTAGACCTAATAAGTTTGCTTAGCAGCGCTTCTGTTTTCTCACTTGGCTTATCATCACTTTGGGACAAAATTAGCCTTGCCACTAAAAATCAATCATAACTTCAATAGGGGAAGCTGTGCTGGGTCAACAAGTAAAGGCGATATCCGAGTAGCGTTGAAGGCGCAGGTCCCCATTTCCACAGATTTACCGAGGCACCCCAATAACCAAATTTTAGTAAAAAAAAATTTCCATTAGCTGGAAGAACACCATTCTCAACATTTATATTTTTTGAATATATAATATATTATAAATTTTAAATATATAAATGGGGAAAGATAGCATGCTGATTGTTCCTCATTTTGTCCGGAATTTAGCCTACAAGTTTTTTTAAGAAATTGGCGAGGCATTGGAGACGAATCATTTGCATTCCCATGTAGAAGTGGCGCTACGGCAAAAATATACTATCGTTTGCACTGCTAGTGACTAGTGATCTAACTAGAAATTGTGAGTGCCAACCATTTTTTCTACTTGTCAAAAGAATTTTTTAAAATTTTCAAGGATCCTTTCAGATCCAGGATGTTCATATATATTTGACATAACATTATATTCTTGGCGTTATCTGGAAACAAAATGTGGAAAATTTTTGGAATGCTTTGAGTTCTATTTCCATATATTTTTATTCATAGCGATCGCTTTGCTTGATATCGTAACATATCGCAAACTTTTACAGATTAAACAGGTTATTTAAGTGCTGTTCAAATAATTCAAAATTCAAAATCAGAGAAGTAGCGAATATGCTTTCATATATGCTCTCACATATGCCTTGAAAATTTCGTCGATTTCGTGCTTATAACTGGAATGATTAATCTATCTTTTTACTTCAAAATTTTCCAAATTTCAGAAAAACAGGACACAACCAAACAATGTTTATGCATCAAAATTGCGTACTGAAATAATTTGCTTTTCCCAAGTAAGGCCAAATTACCAACAAAACAGCAACGTGTAACATTTTAAAAGCCTAAGCTGAAAAATAGTGAAATGATATGAATGAGCCAAATAATGAAGCATTGATCGTATTAAATTCCAAATTTGGTCTTTTAAGACTCACATTTTGAAGAATGATTAGTTATTCTTGGTCTTGATTTTAAGCCAGCTGAATATCATAACTGCAAGCCTTCCTAAAACATGGCTAATTAGTTATTAAGTTAAATAATCGAAAATGATTTTAGAATTGCTTATGTATATCGGTTCATATCATTCTTTTCATGATTGCTCTTTTTATATCACCATTTTGCACTACGAAATGGTCGATTTTTATTACTTACACCTTCACCTGGTTGTTTTCTCATTTTATCGATGGGTAAAACTCATTCTTTTTCTTCATTTTTCCGTTATTTTTAACAGCAGGTCGAAAACATATTGATTATAGACGACATCTATCCAATCGCAAAACTTAGTGGTTCATGATAATCGCCCACATGTTGCATAAAATTTGCTTGTTCTCATTTCTGTGAATAACATGAGAATCTGCTTTTTAGAAAAATTATCCGAATTCCGAAGAGATTCAGAATTTTAATCTCTTTTTTCGTTCTTCAAATTCTTCTCTATGAGATGGCACAGCATTCTAAGTCTTTATATCTCGATAATTTGAATGTTCTTTAATGAAAAAAGCTTTGCATTATTTCAGGTTGATAATTGTAGTTATTCAGTGGAATGTCCTACGTGGACGAAGAGCTACTGTTATGGTGAGAACTATGGTGAAATAATCAGTGTGGACCAATCAGTACTGCAAAGCGAAAAATATTGAACGAAATTTTTTTGGGAATATGGAATTTACAACGTAGCATATCAGAAAAATTCTTTATGCTAGGATGTATAAAATATGTTTGGCCATCACTAATTGAAAAATTTGCTCTTATAAATAGTTCAATAAAAGATATTAATTTCCAAGTGTGATATGCTTGCTTATATCATTTAAGGATTCTTTTCGTTCAATCGTGGTCATACTTTATTGAATTTTACATATTCCATGCAATTTACCGTTATTACTACCTTACGATTATTTACAATAAGCCTAGATTTCCGATTAGAACTTTTTGTTCAAAACGAATAATAGTGGAATCTTTGAGTTCATCAATTTTAGACTTTTCAAATTGACATAAAAAGTAGAAATGAAGAAATACGCCGTAATATTTATTTAATCTCTGACTTATTCTCTGAGTGAATTTGAATTAATTCGTAGTCAGCCGACGCTAAAAGTTAAGATTTTATGAAATAATTTAATTAAACTAAATGGAAAATTAAAGTTATGAATCAACGAAATCTTATTAAATAACGAACTTAAAAATAACGGAAAAAATAAAATTAATTCTGAGAGGGAGGTTTCTCACATATATGTAGATTCAATAGATTCAACAGATTTTAATTCATGAAATTCATCAAAAAATTTTTTTGTTTCAGCATGATGATCTCAAGAATTCAGTAGAATCCTCAATTTTGTTTCGATGATAGCTCATTGCCAGGGGACTTGAAAAAATGGAGAAATAAAATAAAAATATCGAAAAATCCATTTGTCTGAAATATATTCTATTTAAAATATGCTCAAAATACAAATATTTTATAAATATAAAGATTTATAAAATGTTAGCAGAAATTAGCGGAAATTTTTCTAAAATTTAGAAGAAAATCTAAGTAATAATTGACAAATCCTTATTATCATCATTTTTTAATTCTTAAATATTTTTTCTCGAAATTTCTAAACACCTCTTGATAAGGATATTGCTAATATTTCTGCATAGAACTATAAGGATGTTTCGAGTGTCATATGAGCTTGCTTCGAAGATTCTGTAATACTTCAGTAATCAGTGCACATATTCCAACTTTATGCAATGACCGCGGCAAGGACAAAGATAAGTTCTATGCAGAAATGTTAGCAACATTCTTATAAAGAGGTGGCATTTTCACAATAGGGCGTGGGAAGAGGGAAGCTGGAATAGTAGGTTATGATATTACCACAATGAAATTGATGTCAGGGAAGATGAACTGAGGGAGAATCCAGGTTATATTGTAAATTTTCTTTTATTATTAAAACTGCAATTAGGAGAGAGGCGTATAAAATATTTTTGGAGTCCCTTAATTATTTTACTTGACATGTGATATCTCGGGGAGTAACATTTAGTATTGTAGTAACATGTAGTGTTATTGAAATGGCCGAACAAACGCTTTGCACATTTTAATAAGAAATAATAAGAAAACCGCCAGTTTTGTTCTTAAACGAACGAAAAATAAAATATAGTATTTGTAAAATTTAATATAATAAATACGATAAAATAAAATTTAACATAGTAACAAATTTATCTTTGAGGATTTCTTTACCATAGTTCTGCAATGATGGTTCGAAATCGAGATTTTCATCCATGATCGGAAGCTCTTCTGATTATATTAACATTAATAAAAAGATTAGGAAAATCGATTCCTTTAAAATTAACATGAAGATCGCTACACGTTGAAAAGAAAGGGTAATTTAACCGTCATATTCTGTTGAGATCTTCTTGCAGTGGAGATAGACTACTTGTTCCATCATAAGAATAATAAATTTTACAATCGTCAGCATAAAGACGAATGGTAATACCACTTTTGTGATATCCTTTATGTATAATAGAGAAAGCAATGGCACAGTGCAACTACCTTGGGGAACACCAGATTTAACAGAAAGAATGTTGTTGACACATATAGCCTGGTTTTTTATGCAATCTGACACCAAGTGATATCGGTCCGCTGTAATGCGGACCAAGTAAACAGGGATTCAAGATGAACAAACATAATCATCAAAAGTTAAATTTATAATCAGGAATAAGCGTGATAAACCCACCTCCGCGAGTATTTGGACTATTTATTGTCCTTGCATGATACTATAAAGCCATCAAAGTTTAGTTCCCGATTATCAGTAGAGTCATCTAACCACGTTTCATTAATACAGCAAATGCTATTTGAGTTACCGATTGTTAAGAGCTGTAAATCATAAAGTTTTTATATTTAAAACTTCTTGCATCAAATATATACAAAGAAAAATTATTTCCTGTTTTATTAGCCTTGCTTGGCAAGTTGTACAAGGCTGCTGCAGACTGATGAGAAAAAGTTTGAATCGAAAAATTGTTCGTCGTTTCAAACCATTGGCGAGGCTGCCTTAGTTCCACTATCTAAAGATTTCTGGTATCATACTTTTTCAAATTGAGATTCTGATTTCGCATATAATATTCTTTTCGAAACTGTTTGTCTAGTAATAGTTCTCTTTTCGTTAGATCCTTCCTCAAAAAACTTCAGTGGGGAACAATCGAGCGCACGTTCTTATTACGCAGGGATTCAAGAGGATAGCCATGTACTTATCTTTAAATCGAATCTTAAGTACTCGTGGCCTGCCTGACCCCTTTCCTCCATGTCGACGGACTTCCTTAATGTAATCAGTCTGGATCCCAGCGGCAGCTACAATATTCTCTGTTAAGATACTTCCCTATCGGCAGTAGCAGTCTCATCATCAACAAATTTCTCCGGAACATTTATGCCAAATAGACATGGTTCTTTTTCTTTTTTTTCAAAATATTCATCAATAGTTTGCAATATTTGTTCAGTTGAGATTTTTGGAGGTTCAAAGTTGCCATCCAAAGACGAGGCTTTCAAATTATTGATATTATTCTTAAGTTCCTCGTTGACCTTTGTTGACATAAGTGGTCAAATGGTCACTTAATATCTTCTACTCCCGTTGGCCAAACTTCGCAACCACATAGCAATATTGAGCGAATTGCCGCTATAAGGACATGATCTTTCGTCTTATGGTGATTTCACGAAGGTTCCATAAAGGTTTCATCAGTCGGAAAAAGCACATTTGTCTCTGTCGCTATCGAATTGCAATTTCGTCCTTTGTCTGACCATTTAGGGTTGAAGTGGATACAAGATATTTAAAGCCAGGCAATGAATTGATAAAAATAGGTACTTTATCAGCATCCAGTATATAGGAAGCAAACACTTTCGCTTTATTTACATTGATTTTGAGTCCAATTCTCTATATTTTTGCTGATACATTGTTTAACATTATTTGCATTCTATTATAATTCTCAGCAAAAAGGATTACATCATCAGCGTATTCAAGATCTGTGATGCTATGCTCTGGACTGATTTGCACACCTTTTGAGTGCGGAAAAACGATGCCCATTATCCAGTCATAGTTGAATATTACGAGAGAAAGGACGCAGCCCTGATGGACACTAGTCCTTATTTCTGTCAGTCTCCCATACATATAGACCTGTGCCAGTATATGTTGATAAAATGCCTTTATAAGCCAACTTGCGACACCGTTACATTCAGTTACGTTCCATAGCGCTGCTGTATATCATTCAAATCGAAGGCAGCTGCAAAATCGATAAAGCCAGTGACGGTAGATTGCTGATATTTGAAAGGGCATTCCAGTACTCTTCCTGGCTTAAATATCTGGTGAGTAAAATCGCGTTTCGGTCTGAATCCAAAGTTTGGACAGGGCGCATTCTGCTATATCATGTTGCCATGAGTTTACCTACCAGAAGGAAAGCGAAAATTTTTACTGAGACGTCAGTAGGCTGATTCCTCGATAATTGTCGCAACATGTCCTATCACCTTTCTTGAGAATTGGGAGCAGAATTGCTTTGCTCCAATCATCTGGTAATATTTCTTTTTCCCATACCAGAGAGTACATTTGTTGAAGGTTTGTTATGAAGAACGATGGATGATATTTAAAGAGTGCAGCCCGAAGATCATCTTTCCCCAGAGTCTTATTGAGCTTAAGTTTATGAATAACGGAAATTATTTCTTCTTCTCTTGGTGGGTAGCAACCGCAAGCTATATAGTTCAGCGTATTCAGTTATATCAGGGGTAATAGGGGCGATGACGCTTCATGGTTAAATTTGGCATCAAAGAATTCTTTCCATCTTATGAGGCAGTTCTTAATACTCTTTACTGGCACGCCATCGCTGTCCCTTACCATTTCACTGATCGTTCCTCTAATTATAGTTGCCTTATGAAAAAGGCGGAATAGTTCCCTATTATTGTCTAATTGAGCCGCCATCTCCATTCTTGAGATTATGTCACTCCAATAGTGATTTCCCACTGTGCTGCTTTCATAGCAAATCTTCGAAGTCAGATAGTCAGAATCACCTGACATTAGCGCATTGGCAATTCAGACAATCGGACAATTGCTTCCGATATCCAACTAGCACACCTCCTACTAGTATGCCGTAGCGTGAAAGTGGCTGACTTTCGGAGGCATTCCTTTATTTGGACCAGTAAACCGTTTCAGAAAAATCATTGATATTTGCATCATTGAAATGCGCCAACTGCCCCCGAGTTTTTAATTTGAGATAGTTGAAGAACCTTGGGAGATGTTGATTTTGCGGGTTATTTTATGCGGATCTTGGTTCGAACCATAACATGGTCAGGTCCATGAAGATTGCCCGTTTCAGCGTTGTTTCAGCGTTGCTATACGACTATCTGGTGGAGAACTTTTCAGCGACGAAGTGACTAAAATATAATCAATCTGGTTGAAGTGTTGGCTATCCGGGGAATCCCAGAAAATCCGAGGAATGATGAGATGTTTTCTACAATGCCGGAAGCAAATTTTAGTAACAAAAAGTTCAAGCTCTTCGGCATAACGAAGAAGATGTTCCCTATTGGCACACTGCTCTCCGATGCCATATTTGCCCATTGTCGAGGTCATCGCAGCGACGTTATGACCTACGCGCGCATTCCAGTCTTCTCCCGATTATGAAATGGTTCACTTCAAGAGACGTGCCTTTAGTTAGAACCAGTATTCCTCTGCCGTTCTTGAGAAATTATTGATATTCATTTGACTGAGGTGAGGTGGTTAAATAATTCGGTTTGAAATGCAATTACTGCCCCAGAATCTTTTAGTTTGAGGATCTTTTAGTTGAAAGATTTTGCAAGGCCTCGTATCCTGCAAGCTGTTAGTTAGTCTTGTACGAATCTTGATTCGATTCGTAACATGGCCTGAATATTGCCGATTTCAACGTTCTGATAGGAACTACTTTTTCTCTATTAAACAAGATTTATGTCTATAAGATTGTGTATGGTTATGTTAAACTAGATTATTTAACTAGATTGTTCAAAATACTATAATTTTACGCTAAATTTCAGTCGAACAAGGACTAATTGGCTAAAATTACTAAAGCCTACTTGTAAAATTAAATTAAAGATTCATGATTTCTTTATTCATACTATTAATTACTGGAATAAATTTCCGAACGATATAGCTTCGCCACCCTTAGCTATCTTTAAAAAAGATTGGATAATATCATTTATGATATTATTTAAAAAGTTCACATCATGCAGGAAGTGTGAAATCTCGATTTTCAACATCCGATTATAGTTATTTCGAATTATACTATATTATATTATCTTGTAATTTCCTCTTTATTCCATCTTTAAATTGTTTATTTTATTATTATTGTATTTTGTTTATGTCATTAATTCTTATTGTTTGTTATTTTAGCTGTTCTTATTAATACAAGCACATGGCGTTTACGCCCTGCTTGGATGGTTTTCAATAAATAAATAAATAATTTTTTTACTTGCTAAACTGTGTGATAGGTGGTGTCAAAAGCGAGGAGAGGCAATCAAGATCGAGACTGATGCAGTCAGGAAAGAACGTATAGGGAGACCAGTGTTATGACCAGTGGGAGTTGTCACCTCTCAGTTTCTACCTTCAATGACAAGAATTAATCTAATCAAAGAGCTGATCGAATCTTTTTTTGCATGAAATAAATAGAGATTGGATGCTGGCTTGTATTTGCGTTGAATGAAGCTTAGGCTTTGGTGATAATATAATATGAACATTTTTTTGCCAAACTTCTTGCAATGTCGTATTTGTTACAAAACGTTTGAAATCAAATAATCAACTATTCGCTATATCATTTGAAATTTATTGCCTAGTTCATCCGTTTAAATATTTAGTGGTTTCGATTGGTTCATTCCTTTAAAAATTTTCAAAAAACATTTAGTCGATGAAAAGGCTTTTATCTGCGGTATTTTTTAATGAAATTATTTGCTTTAAATTGTTTTTTGTTTTCTCATTTTATAAGCGTTTTGAATTGAAAATTTTTTCTAATTATTTTTATTTAAACATAATTAGAACCATTGCATCAATAAAAATTGATTCGTTTCCCTATGCAAAAGCACTTTAAATGAAATGCTAAAAGATCTTTAGTAATAATTAAAAATAATAGTTAATAATTAACAAAGAGGTTTGAGGAAAGAAGAAATGGTGTGGAAAATTAGTGATTTTAGTAAATTTTCGTTGTATTTTCGTTGTATTCAGTATGAAGTGGAATTATACAAATATTAGCTTATTAATTTCTATTCGTAAAGAAAAGCCAAAAATAGCATCGGTTGACAAAATTTTGCTTATTTTAAATACCATCAATATAATCCATTTTTATTAATACTTCCGGCCCAAGAATAAACTACCATCCTTGCTATTGTGTTTTTTAATTTGCGTATTTCTCTCTACAACATTTGGAGAATACTAGTTCAGGAAAATTTAGTTTTGATTGTTTAATATATTAATAAAAATAGTATATATTAATATAAATATATTAATAAATAATTATTGCTAATTAATATGACTTTCCCTGTTTAGATTCTGCATGGATTCTACGGAAAAGACATTTCAATAATTTAAAGCTTTTTCTTTCTTATTTCTTAATATTTGCATCAATTTTTCTCCTTTTTCCGTAGTTAAGGTCGGCAAGAGACATCTAACATCCCAGATAATATTTCACATATAGATATGTTTACGAATGCGTTTTACAAAATAAATTTGAGCTCTCCACTGTATTCGATTGTCAAGCGATTCAATATTATTTGATAAAATAGGTATTAAAACGAAAAATATACATCTGATTACATTTTTTGTTATCAATGGCCAGTAACTTCATATCATTAGCATTAGTTTTTACAAATATATAGTCTTATAGTCTTTTCCTTCTAGAAAGATGGCTTGAATATTAGTTAGATTCGGTTGTAAATTGGGATCATTCCAGAACAGGGCCACTATAAAATAGCTGTTATGTCCTTCAGACATTTTAACAAATTTTCAGTAACTCCAATAAACATGTGTTTGCTTTTATTATTGTGTTGCAATTTGGTTGGAGATTTTCACATATTTTATTTTGGATATAAATTCAAATTTTTAATGCACTTTTCGCTTGAACGGCCGGAATTTTTCATTGCAGCGAGAAGTCTATATTTTCAGCATACAATGCAGTTAAGAAGCGCCGTCAATAAATCGAGAATTAATCGCATAATGACTTCCACAGTCTGTAAGTCGAATATTATAATTGCATCAATGAGCGAAAAATTGAAGCATATGAAAATGAAAATTTATAAATATTCAAAACATTTGATCACAAATCATGAAGCAGCAAAATAAAATTTCAAAAAAAATTTTAAAATTTCATAATATATGAAAAAATATAAGAATTTTGTAAAAAAATCTCAATTTATAAAGACTAAATCGAATCGCTAAAAACTCCAATAAAATGCTTTTAATGCCAAAATGCAAAAAAAAGGGAAGTCATAAAATTCACAAACAAATAATAACTAAAAAAACAAATAATAATAAATAAAATAATTATAAATGATAATTATAATGATAATTACTGAAAATGGAAAAGAAAATATGAGGTGAACAAAATAGAAAAGGAGAAATATGAGATGTAACTTCAAAAACTGCTATAATTTAAAGCACCAATGAATTATTAGCTTACACAAATTCCGCTTTGGTCTTGGATGATGTCTATCCAATTACGTGCAGTAAACTTTCTTAGCTGGTGCTTTAAGATGAAGCATACATCAAATAATTGGATTCACCAGAAATAAATATCATTCTTCTACAGTAATTCATTCTATAAAATTATTACGGCAAAATTTTAATTTACTTTAACAACTGTGTATCCAAAATTAGTTGCCCGACAAGCATAAATAATAATCGAATCAGGATCAGTTGCCAGTTTCATAGCAACGCCAACTTGCTCTGTGATTCTTATTTTAGTAAGTTTTATAATCTTTTCCATATTTTTCTTTTTTGCGAAATTTCGGCTCGCTGAACCTTGCAAAATGTTGAATGCTGCATTTTTGGTGGATTGATTAAGGAAATCGCATATTTAAATGCTTTTAAATTAAAATAAATTAAAATAAATATTATTAATTCAATCTAAACAAACTTTTCTTTGCAAACTTGTCTTTATTGGAAATTGTTTTTCAATTTGCTAGTGGTGTAGATAGTTGCAGAAGTTCAGAATGCAATTATGGAAAAAATTTATTGATTTTAGTTGCGCCAAAATTCATCAGATATGTGGAACCATTATGGAATTTAAAACTATTCCTAAAACATTTTATGGATACTCGGCAAATTATTATCGCACAAATGCATTCAAAAATGCATTTGCGTGAGTGATAAATATGCAGTAAGCCATGGAAAATGTATTGAAAAAAACCCCCTAACACGAGCAAATCGCAGTGAAATGAAGATAACTAAATTGTGAAGTAAGTGGTGCGCCATATCGTTTTATATGCAGCAAAGGTTCCACCATTCCAAAAAAATATCGTCAAATTCTTCTTTAGTGATTTGCTGTTTTCGCTGAATTAAATAAAATAGTAGCTTTTAGCTTTTAGACTTCGTTAAAAATCATTTTTTTCATAAGTGACCTTTCGTGTTATACGCCAGTTTTGATATGTTAAATAATGTTTCCTTTGTTCTAATTTCTAGCTTTTTATTTGTTGCATCAAATTCTTTTCAATATTAAAGTGTTTTTTTAATTTTCTCATTAATTTTATTTCCCTGCTTATTGAATTCTTCTCCATTTAAAGCACCAATGAGACAACAGCTCTCACCACTGCCAGTTAGGTTAACTCCGCTGGCTAAAGAATAAGACATCTCCAAGCTGCCCGGTCCGACGCCATCACTAGTAGCAATAAATAGCCTGCTTATTGAATATCCAACATTTTCCCAGTTTAAATCCACTGACCATCCAAAAAATATCAAAAACAGTGGGAATGACCTGGAATTGAATACAATGAATATAGCTAAAAATAATTTTTCTAAGCTTCAAAGCAAAAGAGAGACAACAAATACTTATTAATCTTTATTTCAAAAAAATCAAAGGCTTATTCCATGGTCAAAGAATCCTAGAAATTCTGGGTGATCGAAAGGCCTACAGAAGTATGGAAAGGTCACCAGTGCTAGAAAGATTTTTGGGAAAATATTTTTTTTTCTACTAGAAATAGGTTCCCCCTCCCTTTATAGTCAATTAAGCATTCGCGCTCCAAAATGGGAACATTATTGCCTATCCTAATCTCACTTGAGATAACATTTAAGTCTTTTCTCAATCATACGACAGATAATTTTTTTTCATAAAATTTTTCTTAATCTTTATTGATATATTCATCAAAATTTCTTTTAAATTACATTGGACTAATTGGCTGTTTTCGTTCTTACTAACGATGTTTTTACTAACGATTGTATCAAACTCAATAATAAAAAAATAAAAAGGATTGTTCGATAGATTCGGTTTAATTCGTGGTTCTCAAGAGATAATTTAGAAATGATTGGATTTGATTAGAGCCCATTGAAGACAGAAGTTGCAGATTCACATTAGCACTACTGGTTATTGGAACCTTCCCAGTAATATGCGTCCTCCT